AAAAAAATCTGAACTTAAATTTAATTTAAAATTAATGAAATTAGCTTTTTCCTGTATTTTAATTTTTATTTAAAAAAAATAGGTGAGAAGAAACCTTTGGCCCTATATTTGCAAAGAGAAATGCTGTATTATTCGAGCTTTTGGAGTTAACTTTTTCTTTCAGTAGTGCAAACGTAATGGCACAAATTTGAAGAAAGTGAATTATTATTACAGTGAACTCGGGAGAGAAGGCGAGAGATACGAATTCGCACTGTTTAAATTTGAAGAAAGTAAATTATTATATTAAGTGTATAGCAACAGTTACTGATACTCATACATATTATTTAGTTTTTTTCTTTAAACTTTCTCTCATTCGTCTGTTCGGATTGATAATTATTCTGAATCTGTCGACGATAGAGAAGATTTAAAAGATTTCGCATATTTAAAGATTTCTGCATCTGCAAGTGTGCAACGTCTCGAAGATGGTGAACAACATATTCAACAACCAAATATTAATCTATACCCTCACGATGCTAATATACGTTAGCATAATGATTTACAGTATATACATTGACTTTCGCAGAAGCCATGATTTCGTGAAGGTCATAAATCCAATGTATTTGTACTTGTTGGACAGCATCATTTCTATCTTGAAAATTCCAGTAATGAGCTATGATTGCGAATATACGATGAGACAGGTGAAAAACTTGTTTTCCAATCCTTTTCAACTCTACAGCGTGCGTTCGATCATTTGTTATTAAATCGTATCGTATTGGGAAATCCCTTTAAATTGAGGAAAATATGAAACAATTGCCATTGGCAATTTATTCCGAGTAGTAAAAATTATCTTCGAAGATTAAAAATTCTTGAAAAAGACGAGATTGTAACAAAAATTCAAAGTTTTCATTAAAATTAAGAATCACAGCAATGTAAATTAGTCGAGCAGTTTTAACAAAAATTGAACGTATTTTTTTAAACTTGAGCACTGTATTAGATGTAATTTGAAATTAATTCGATGCCTTTGTATTGAATTTTCAAAATATAAATGGTTGCGTATAAAAGGCACATTATAGTTTATTTAGAAAAAAAAACAATCTATTCTTGTCGATTCTCAGTTAAAGATATTTCAATGGTAATTCCGATATAAAACTTTGAAAATTGAAAATTCGAAGAACTTGAAAAGTTAAAAAACGAAACCTTAGAAATTAAATACAAGAAGAAATATTATTTCACAATACGAAATGATTCCTATTAGAATGGGTTTAGAGCAAGATAACAAGATTATCTGAAAAGGGGCTGAATTAATCTAATAATTTGATCAATTAACGAATAATTTAAAAGATTAACTTCTCTTTCTTAGAAGGAAGTAATCTGATTTTTTTTTCTTTCTTTCTAGGCGAGCAGGACGATAGACCTTATTCATTCGTGCCCTCTGTATCGAGAGAGCGCAGAATTAAAAGACGAGGTAAAAATTGAAAATCCATTACTTTGTGACTGATGTTATCTTGGAGAAATGAAACGCAGTATTGATCTGTTGATAGACCCTGCAATTCTTGTGGCAGATATCCTATACGCAACTTGAAGATACAAAGTCAGTTCACTATGTATTGAACTACAACTTCGTTCGTGATGTGAGTACTATTCTTTATTATTTATATTATCGATTCTCGTAGAACGTATGAAAAATTGTTTCACGTGTTTCTTACAGTGTTTCTACTTCGTGATAACTTATTTGGTGATCATGATACAGTTGAGTCAGAACTTAATGAATGACTCATTGTCAGACGCAACCGGAAACGAGACCTCCACTTTTCAAACAATATTACAAGAAAATACAAGTATGCCAGTTTAACTTTTCACACTTCTCGATAATGTCAAATAATTTTAGAATGATAAGACACAAAAGGAAAAACTGTAAGTATTAAACATTGATATACTGCTATTGCTACTGCTATAAACTTTGTAATTTACAATTCTTCTATCCAAAGCTACGTGATACAAGAATGTGATTAGA